TCATACATGGTGTCGCTAAAAGTCGAACGAGAAACCCTAAAGCGGAGAAATTTGAGTCGGCTATGGTCACTGAGACTGTAGAAGACTGTGGTAGTAACGAAGGGAAATATGGGTCTGATTGTAATTTTGGAGAAAAAGGTTTCGATTTTGAATCAAGAGACAGGTAACTGTAGTGGAACCTATGCTCTGTTTTCATCTCGAAGATTTTGTTTTGCAGATTTATGTTAGAGAGAGAGATGATATTGAGTTTGAATGTGTTTGTTCTACAGGAGAAAGAGAGAAACGAAGTCATGTAACTTGACAAGAGACTCAGAAGTTACACAAAGTGTTCCTTCGTCTAGTGAGATTGAAGACTTCTTTGCTTACGCAGAGCAGCAACAACAGAGAAACTTCATTGAAAAGTAAAATTTCTCTTTTGAAGTCATCTTCTCTTGAAATCTATCATGGGTTTTTTAAGGGTTTGTTTTCTCATGTAATGGAGTTTTGTGGTTTGCAGGTACAACTTTGACACAGTGTCGGACAATCCATTACCAGGGCGTTACGAATGGGTCAAAGTGGAGCCATGAATGGGTTCTTGTTGTAACAAGTGATGTAAAGTTGTGTGATTTATGTAACGTCTCTGTTAGAACAGAGGCGATGAAATTGCACACAGACTAACAAAGACTAGACATCCAGACATAAGTAAACGTTAAGTTGTTGTGTTGTTTTTTCTTAGGGATTGTGGATAACTTGTTAATTAAGGTAATATAATGTGTTAATCTCTCTCATTTGCAAGGAAATAAAGTCTAATTTTACTGTCTCTCTGCTCTGAATCATTTCCCATAGTTTCTTCTATAGAGACTTCTTTCTCTGAGTTTGTAGTTCTGCATCGGATTTACTTTACAAATCATAAGCTTTGGCTTCAAGCTTTGAAATTAGCAAACTCCCTGAACAAAAAACCTTGGTCACAGGTTTCATCTCTGTCTTCTTCTTTATTGCTACTGTACTCTCATTGGGCTTTTCACACGTGGGTAATTGTACCAACTCATCAATCACAAAGGTTGCAGCAATATGCTTCTCTCTCTTCTTTATTGGCACTGCAATCACTGTCTTGCTTTCTGGGTTTTTTCTTCAAAAGTCCAAGTTTAGCACAGTTTTCTGCTGAGTTAGGTTTCTTGGTTTATGTAAAACTTTCACCTCTTTGGATCATTGCGCATCGGATGCACCAAAACATTAAATAATGATGTACTACATAAGCTTTTCACACCACTGTATTCATGTCTCAGGAGTACTAATTAAAATCACATGATCATTTACACCTCTAAAGATGAAACCTTCTTGGTTTTGTCACTCTTAAAGACATGGGAACAATATTTACAACATCAAGTGATGCTCAAACTCCAGCGATTCAGCATTTCAGTTTGGTTACAACTTCTTCTTATACCCAAATCTAAATGCCACAACAGGACACCGAATATGTATTAAGCTTCATGGAGTTGCAGATCCAGTACTCAACGTTGCCTCGTTTCTGACATTTCCACTTCATATACACCTTTGGTTTCACTCTCCTCCATGGCCATCCTCCTGATTTTAGCTTGTTGGATTGCTAGCACCTCGTATCTACAAAATATTTAACAAAAACAATTTATATTTCCATGGCCAAACCTGCATTTCCAAACTCATTTACTCGTATCATTGTTCCAAAGCAAAAAAAAAAAAAAAACCATCGCGCTACTAACTCTATGCGAGGGTGAAATCATACACAAACCAACATAGTAAGGTTCAGTTAGCTCTTCATCTACACATGGAACCATCTCAAACGAAATTTGATATAAGAAAGTTCTTACTTTGCCACAAGGTTCCTCACAAGTTGGAAATATATCCTCCAAAACTGCTCTTCCTTTAAAAGACGCGGACACAACTTGAATCTCAGCTGCGAGAGTTCCTGCAAGTCCAAAATCAATCTTGTTTACAGCAGCTTTAAAAAAATCCATTAGATTCGACCCATTGTTCCTAACAGACCAATTCAATGCTACCAAGGGTAAAAAAAAAAATCATCTCGAATTGTAGATCACGAGCAAGTTTGCCATTTTCACAAACATAATATTACAAACAGTTCAAGAGGTGAGAAGCTTCATATGAACTATAAGATCATTGGACACATAAACTCTGATCCAAATCTGATTCAAGTGATACCAGTGGCAAAACAAAAGCCCCAGCAGATTACAAGCAAAATCAAGAAGAGAGCAGTTCTGAAATAAGCTCTATAAGATCAACCCATACGCATTTAATTCGAATCTAATTCAAAAGATACCATTGTGCCCAAGAGCTTATAGCTGATTATTCGAAATTTCAACAGAGATTGATCACCAGAGAAAGCTAAATCAAATATATAAGAAAAACCTTGGATTTCGATAACACGAGAACGGCGTGTCTCTCTTGCCAATCAGTTAATTCCTTCTTCACATTGGCAGATGAGCTCATTCCATTATCTTCATCTTCCAAAGGATTTACAGACGCTTCTTCATCACCTGCTTCCGACTACTAAGTTTAAGTTCATGTTTCTTCTTCAACAGAGAAAATCAGAAAAGCCCTAGAAAATTTTCGGAATCGAATTCGTAAATTACCGTCAAGAGGGAAGTTCTTAAATGTATCAATGGAGAAGGATCTGACGTGATTGATTAATTCATCTGTTACTCCAAGCAAATCATCATCGCTGCCTTGTTCGTTTCTACTCGATGATCCATTTATCGAGATCGGAAGTTCTCTCTTCTCTCTGAAAAAGCTCCGTCGAATCCTCGAAGCTATATTCATTCCGATCCCTTGAACAAACTTCAATCCCGAGGAAGAGAGGAGAAGAGAAGAAAGAGTTTCAAGGCCAGCTCAGAGTTTTTATTGGGCCTACATTTTGATAAACTAAAGGCCCAATAAAATTAGGTTAGATAAAGCCCTAAATCCTCTCTCCCTGGGACAAAAACCCTAATTGTTTTTTTTCACTGGCCGCCTCATATATAAAGCTACTACCATTGAAGTCCAGTCGTAACCCTTTATCGAAGAGCAGAGAGGAGAAAACCGAATCGAGAAGATGGTGTCTGGATCAGGTTTATGCGCGAAGCGTGTCGTGGTTGATGGAAGTAAGCACATGTTGGGACGTCTTGCTTCGATCATCGCTAAGGAATTGCTCAACGGACAGAAAGTGGTGGTTGTGCGATGCGAGGAGATTTGTCTCTCAGGTGGTTTGGTTCGTCAGAAGATGAAGTACATGAGGTTTCTCAGGAAACGCATGAACACCAAACCTTCTCATGGTCCCATTCACTTCCGTGCTCCGTCTAAGATCTTCTGGCGCACCGTTCGTGGGTTCGTAATCTAATCTCTTTATCTTACTTAAGAGTTGTACGCTTGTTGTTAATCTGCTTCTGTGACGAATCTGGAAAATGAAGATCTGGATTAGACTTTAGATAGTTGTTTATACTATGATTTGCTCATTTATCTGCACATAATCTTGTTTATGATCGTTCAAATTAGCAAATGTTTGATTATTAATTCAAAAATGATAGCAGATGGAAGTATCCAAAATTTTATGTTTTATGTAGCTCATTGGATTTTGTTTCAATGTCTGGATTTGGTTAGATTGGCTTGTAACTTTATTTCTTCCAAGCAGAAGAATTTTTCAGCTAATCTTTCTCTCTGTATAATTTGTCTGTGTTAGAAATGATTTTTGAAAATGTAATGCAGGTAATCTGTAAATGGAATGTTTATCAATGTTTTGTGTTTGTGACAGGATGATTCCACACAAGACCAAGCGTGGAGCTGCTGCTCTTGACCGCTTGAAGGTTTTTGAGGGAGTCCCACCTCCTTTCGACAAGGTCAAGAGAATGGTCATTCCTGATGCTCTCAAGTAATAATCCTGCAACTTTCTTCTTTTGTGATTTATGCTTTTATCAATTTTTTTAGCGATCAACCGATTTCATTTTTCCTGTTGTTCTTGCTTAGGGTTTTGAGACTCCAGGCTGGCCACAAGTACTGTTTGTTGGGCCGTCTCTCTTCGGAGGTTGGCTGGAACCATTACGATACCATTAAGGTTTGTCCCTTTTGTTCATTTCTTCTACCTGCATATGAAGTTTATGGAACAAAAGTTGTTCTATTTACTATGCATTCATAAAATAATTTACTAGTTTATTTGAAGAATTCTCAGTTGACAACCAGAACTAGTTTTGATTGTATAGTCAAATGTTCTTTGGTCTTTTGTACAGGATCCAAATCATTTATAGTTTAGAGGGTAGTTTCACTCTGACAATTGCATCTACTGAAACATCTCTTTTATTTGTTGAATGCTAAGTAGATAATGAACGCTAACAAAGATGTCTGGTTAATCTTGCTGATGTTTCAATGCAAAATTAGGATCATATTATGTTTTTTTTGGTTATGAAGCCATCATCTCACTGAAAATGAGGAAGAAACTGGGATTAACCTTTGGTATAATGGTTTTACAGGAGCTTGAGGTCAAGAGAAAGGAGAGGTCACAAGTGGTGTATGAGCGAAAGAAGCAACTCATTAAGCTCAGGACTAAGGCCGAGAAGGTTGCGGAGGAGAAACTTGGATCCCAGCTCGATGTTCTTGCACCGATTAAGTACTGATAATCGGCATCTATCTTTTGGTTTAATCCTTGCTCTGGAGCTTGTCTTGATTCTACCTTTGAATTCCAGCTTTTGTTTTGGTAGCAATGTAGACGTAAAGATTGGAAAGAGTAAACATTTTGGTTTTTTGATTGTTCTATACAATCTGTTATGTTTTACACTGTTGAAGTCCCTCCCTTGTTATTACGCTGCTGCAAGATCAATTGGTAAGTTTTGAAATGGTAAAATGCTTGGATTTTAAATTACAAAAAAAAAAGAATCAAAGTTACTAATAGAAAAATAGAATTCTAGAAACGTGAACTGTGGTAAGCAGTGGGAAGAATGACTAAGTAAGAATTGTTGTGGTAATAAGGATGTTGAACTTACCATAAAATCCAGACTGATGGTTGAGGAGGATGATAGGTTTGTCTTGGCTTTTGAACAAGAATGGGAAAATACTTTGTGAGATCTTGCTACTGGTTAATGAGTAGGAAACCTCATTCCTTCAGAATTAAGCCCTGCCATCTCCAAAACCATTAGTTGACAAATCTAGAAGGCTTTAAGTGGTTTCGAAAATCAAGGTTTTTATGTTGAAGGCTTTAAGTGGAGTTTTCGCATACCGAATTTGTAAAGAAGAAAATTAATAAGTTAACCATATCCTATTTGCGTTAATGATGGCTCGACAAGTTCCCTTCTCATCGGTCTTGGTGAAGCTTTACCTCAAATCCTCCACCGTATGCTAAATGCAAGTGTTATTACGATTTGATTGTGATACCGACGGGTACAATATGATAACTTTGTATTTTTAAATGACAAATCGATCTAAGTGTTATTCAAATCACCCAAAAAGATGAAACATCAAAGACGAAGTCTGAATTCAGAATGAAAAACAATGTAAAGTTTACTAAGTATAAAGAGAGTTGTTTATTACAAGTAACAAGTAAATTTCTAACGACTACTAGATGTCATTTTTTCTTTCTATACATTTTCTCATTTATACAACATTGCTAATCAACAGAACTGATTTCGTCCATAAATTTTGATCTCCACATTGCATATACAATTGTTGCGCCTTTTATATTGTTTCTCAGCTTTCGGATCGCGAATTGGACTTAACAACAATGAGTCCCGAATTCATCTTTAAAGAGATTTTGATTCAAACATTTTTTGCTTAGTTTGGTAACACGAACTCGAGACTCGAATATATTTGGAATTAGCTATTTCCGAACTTCAAACTGGCATTTTTAAAAGTTTGTTTCTGTGTATTTTGTTAGCCTTGTTTCATACACCAAACTTAGATGTAACACATTTTACCATCTATCTAAACTTAAAAAAAAAAAAAAAGCCAACTTAAAAACGTTATGTTCAGCTGGCTCAACTAGTATTAGGCCTAACAAGTATATACAGTACAATTATTTTTTTCAATCCAATATTTCTCTTAATGCAGCCATTAAACATTTAAACTGATACCATTTACAAAATTACATCTAATATATTGTGTAGCTAATTAAAAACATTTTGTCAACACCAAAAAAGAAAAGAAGAAAAGGTTTTATTCTTTCATATGCAAGGCCATGAATTGATGAAATCACGTCACGTGGTCGACCTGTCCCTCTCCTTTTGGACCTAAAGTTAGAAACGTGGCACTTCTCCCTCACCGAATTTAGAATCTGCGTCGGTAGTTGCCACGTGTTTATCTTCTACTGGATATAACGTGGAGTAAACTATTCTGTCGGTGGGCCCACATCCACTTTTTTTAATTATATATAAAAAAAAAAAATAGATAACCAAACAGTTAAAAGAAAATTATGGTTAGTGTAGCTTAGCGCCCACGCGGACCGTAACCACCGCTACACCTACCAAACGGACGTTAAATCTCGCCGTTAATACAAGTTTTTTTATTAACACTTTTTCTTTGACTCGCCGCCGTAACGTAATTACTGCAATCTCGAAGCATTGACTAAAAAAAAAAACAGAGCTCGACGAATCTCTGGTTCGATCCGGTTTACTCGTCGGTTCGCTCGATGCTATAAAAAATTGAAACATAACCGGCGATTAGCTC